TGCTGCAGTGTACGTACTGCTCGCTGTCTGTACTCCGCCTTCTTGGGCGCTCTGTGCCCTGATGGCTGTTCTGAGGCCCTACCCATTTCCAAGGGCCCTAAACCCTAAACCCTAAACCCTAAACCCTAAACCCTAAACCCTCGATGCTGAGCGCGGCAGCTGTCAGTGGTTGCGGGCCCAGTGTTAGTTAAGAAGATATTCGATACTTAGGGTTTAGGGTTTAGGGTTTAGGGTTTACATAAAAGGGTTATTACTCTCTATATAAACAAATCTAATAAAGTGTTAGGGTTCAGGGGGGCCCCCTGGGGGCCCCCAGCAGCGGGTGTGGGGCCCCCCAGGCCTTGGCTGCAGGGCCTCTACTAAACCCTAAACCCTAAACCCTAAACCCTAAACCCTTAAAATTTTTCGTTAGTAATTATATAGGCCGTATTCTTTCTTTGGCCCCATTTATATCGCACTTATTTGAATCCGATGGTTTAGGGTTTAGGGTTTAGGGTTTAGGGTTTAGTGTTTAGGGTTTAGGGTTTAGGGTTTAGAGGGCAGCTTCGCTGCTATTGAGGCGATCCCAGCTCGATCCCAGCAGCAGCAGCAGCAGCAGCAGCAGCAACAGCAGCAGCAGTAGCCCCAACAACAATTACAACATCAACAGGTTCAGCAGCAGCAGCAGCAGCAACAGCAGCAGCAGCAGCAGCAGCAGCAGGAACTTCACCGTCAGCAGCAGCAGCGGGAGCGCGCTTTCAGCAGCAGAAGCAGCAGGATCACCTGCAGCAGCATCACCAGCAGCAGCATCACCAGCAGCAGCATCACCAGCAGCAGCAGCAGCAGCAGCAGCAGCAGCAGCAGCAGCAGCAGGAAGATGGTGACTTTTATTTGTTCTAACTGTCAGTCTACACTAAAGAAGAAAGCAGCAGAAAACCATCGATGTTTTGGGGCTTCCTTTTGCTGCGTCGATTGCATGCGGGAGTTCTCTCCTGCTGCTATGCGCAGCCACACACAGTGCCTCACAGGTTAGGGTTTAGGGTTTAGGGTTTAGGGTTTAGGGTTTACGGGGGTGGGGGTTAGGGTTTAGGCGTCGTCATCGATTCCACCAACTGAGGGTTTAGGGTTTAGGGTTTAGGGTTTAGGGTTTAGAAACAAAACGAACTATGGCTCAGCTGCTGGGAGCCAAACCCTTATCTGCCCATCATAGCAGCAGCAACAGCAGCAGCAACAGCAGCAGCAGCAACAGCAGCAGCAGCAACAGCAGCAGCAGCAACAGCAGCAGCAGCAGCAGCTGCTGCTGCTGCTGCTGCTGCGAGGGCGGCGGTGGCGTTCTTACGCACGCATGGGCGACTTATTCTGCTGTTACTCCTGTTGCTGTTTCTGCTGCTGCTGCTGCTGTTGTCGTTGCTGCTGCTGCTGCTGCTGCTGTTGTTGCTGCTGCTGCTGCTGTTGCTGCTGCTGCTGTTGCTGTTGCAGAGCAGCAGAAATTCCACGGAAAATTCGCGAAGGGGGGAAAGCAGCAGCAGCAGCAGCAGCAGCAGAAACAGCAGCAACCGCAGCAGCAGCAGCAGCAACAGCAGGCTGCTGCTGCTGGCGGCAAGCGTAAGGAGTGCGCAGGCAGCGACACTCACCAGCAGCAGCAGAAGCAGCAGCAGCAGCAGCAGCAGCAGCAGCAGCAGCAACAGCAGCAACAAAAGAAACAAAAAAGAAAGGAGGGCCCTGCTGCTGCAGCAGAGTTCGATTGGCTTGCTGCAGCAACAACCCTCCTCAGGCAGCAGCCCCAAAAACGCATGCATTGGAAAGAACTCGCAAAGGCCGTGAGGGTTTAGGGTTTAGGGTTTAGGGTTTAGGGTTTAGGGTTTAGCCGGTTGGGGTTGGGGTGTCGAGCGCATAATCCTTATTTGAAAACTGGGGAGAGTATAAACGCATATC